CTGGGGGCCTCCGGGGGCTGCGGGGGCTGCCTGCGAGTGACAGAAGGCAGGCGTTCAGTCGGCACCAACCATGAAGACTGCTTTGGCCCAGGGAAGCGCTCCCAAAGGCACCCTCACACACACCAGACCCCTCGCCAGACCCTGGCACTCACCACTGCTCCCCCGTGCCCCAGCTGGACCCATGGGCATCCCTGTGGCATCAAAAAAAATGGCAGCACAACAGTCAGTGGTTGACCTACGTCTCAGTGCATCCTTCCTGTACGCACGCCCAGCCTCGCAGAGGCATGGGCCCCATGAAGATTCTGACAGCATTCACTCCAGACCAGCCTTGCAGCCATCCTGCAGCCTCACAGGACATCGCACCCCAAGCCCAGGCACTGCCCAGCACCTCCCAACACCCCCAGCAAGGTGTTGCCAGTGCCACCAGCTGCCCCTACCCACTGTGTCCAGGACACCTCAGTGCAGTTTGGCCTCCTCAGCTGTGTGCCAGCAGTGCCCAGCGGGTCCTGCCCAGCACCTTGTCACAGAGACAACCCACCATAAGGACACCTGGTCAGGGGACAGCCTGCCTGGCAGGCAAATGCCCAGGCAGGACCCTCCCGAGGCGATGGCGAGAGCAGTGGCTGAGCGCTGGCGGTGCCTGTCGCAGGGCAGGCTCTGCGGCTCCGCCAACAGCTTGGCTCTGGGGAGAGGACAGAGGAGGAGGAGAAGAGAGAAGAAACAGCAACTGGACAAAGAGCTTCCCTGGAGTCACCGCAAGCAGCAAGTGCGAGGGCAAACCAGCCAGTGGCACTCACCCAGCTCTGCCCAGCTGCCCAGCAGCCTCATACCAGACTCATGGGTGTTGTGTGCCCTAGCTCCAGGTGTTGCCCAGCACCTCCCAACACCCCTAAGCCAGGTTTTGCCAGTGCCATCAGCCTCCTCCAGTCCCCGTATGCCCCAGAGGCCACCATGGGACAGCTCAGCATCCCCCGTTTGGTGCCAGCGGTGCCGAGCCCTGCCCGGGACATGCAGCCCTGTATACAGCTCCTGCTGCCGCCCTGGTGCACACACCCCTTACCTGGGCTTTTTAACAAGCTCATCCTCGCGATCCTCCACTGAGCGCAGCAGGAGAGAAAGGAGGAGACAGAGTCAGTCTGCAGTGGCCAAGGCCCAGGGACAGCAGGAAAGGAAAGGAAGGAAAGGGAAGGGAAGGGAAAGGAAGGAAAACCGACCTCCACTCCCACCACCCTCCTGCCCTAGCACACAGCCCTGCCCGGCCACAGGGCAGAGCACAGCCCCAGCCCAGTGGCACCACCACGAGCCCACACAGAGCCCCAGGCAGCTCCCCAACAGCTTGGCCTCCCCAGAGGGGCCACACAGGGCAAAAACCAAAGCCCTACTGCCACATCACCCCACCGCCTCTGCCAGGCACTGGCTGGCCCCGCAAAAATCTGGCAGCCCCAAGCAGCCAGGCAGCGCCGGGCCCTGCAGGAACTTACTGCTGTCTGTGCCCATCAGCCGGGCCAGTTTGCAGAAGGAGCGGGACTGGGAGGTCCCAGCACGGGGCTGCCAGTCCTCAGCATCCTCTATCAGCCGCAGCTTCACAGGGTCGCACATGGGGGTGCTGGGGGGGTCCAGTGGCTGCCTGCGAGTGACAGAGGGCAGGCGCTCAGCCGGCACCATGCATATACCCTGCCCGGCACCACAGCATGGTGCAGCACTCCCAAAGGTGCCCTTGCACATGCCAACCCCCTCACCAGACTCCGCACTCACCGCTGCTCCCCTGTGCCCCAGTCAGACCCACGGGCATCCCTGTGGCATCAGAAAAACGGCGGCACAACAGTCAATGTTTGACCCACAGCTAAGCCCGTCCCTCCCGTGTGCACGCCCAGCCCCACAGAGAAGCCAGCGGCATTCACTCCAGACCAGCCTCCCGGCCGCCCCCCAGCACCACGGGAAAGCTGGTGACACTCACCCAGCTGACCGGCCACCCTGCAGCCCCACGCCAGACTCACGGGACACCGTGCCCCAGGTCCAAGTGCTGCCCAACTCCTCCCAACACCCCCAGCAAGGTGTTGCCAGTGCCACCAGCCTCCTCCAGATCTCATTTGCTCAAGAAGCAATGGTGCAGCTCGGCCTCCACAGCTCCATGCCAGTAGTGCCCAGCACGCCCAGCACAGGGACACGCCGTTTGGGACAGCCTGCCTCGCAGGCAAGTGCCCAGGCAGGACCCTCCCAAGGTGATGGTCAGAGCAGTGGCTGAGCACTGGTGGTGCCCATCATGGGGCAAGTGCAGGGTGGGCTCTGCAGCTCCACCAACAGCTCGGCTCTAGGGAGAAGGAGAGGACAGAAAGGGAAAGGGAAGACAGAGGAGGAGGAGGAGAGAATAAATGACAACAGGGCAAAGAGCTTCCCTGGAGTCACCGCAAGCAGTGAGGGCAAACCAGCCGAGTGGGCTGAGCCCCAGCTGGGCACCCCCGTGGCTCCTGCTGCCGCCCTGGTGCACGCTCCCCTTACCTGGGCTTTTTAACAAGCTCATCCTCACGATCCTCCACTGCGCGCAGCAGGAGAGAAAGGAAGAGATAGTCAGTCTGTGGCAATCAAGGCCCAGGGACAGCAGGAAGGGAAAGGAAGGAAAACTGAGCTCTCCTCCCACCCCCCTCCTGCCCCAGCACACAGCCCTGCCCGGCCATGGGGCAGACCACGGCCCCAGCCCAGTGGCACCACCACGAGCCTATGCATGGCCCCGGGCAGTTCCCACTGGCTCATGCTCCATAAGGGCCACATGGGGCCAAACCCAATACTTCAGTGCCACAATACACCACGGCCTTTGTCTGGCTGCAGTCGCCCCAGCAAAGCTGGGCATCCCCGGGCTGCCCAGCAGCGCCAGGCCCTGCGGGACCTTACTGCCGTCTGTGCCCGTCAGCCGGGCCAGTTTGCGGAAGGAGCGGGACTGGGAGGTCCCGGTGCGGGGCTGCCAGTCCTCAGCGTCCTCTATCAGCCGCAACTTCACAGGGTCGTACATGGGGGTGCTGGGGGGCTCCAGTGGCTGCAGGGGCTGCCTGTGAGTGACAGTCATCTGTCAAATCTGACAGATCCCCAGGGCATCACCTCCCTGGGGCTGCCCCACACCTCCCCCAACACAGAACCACAGCACACCAGTATCTGAGATGCTGTGTGTTGCTTTACTCCCCACATCTCCTACTCCTCCCCTGCATAGGAAGAGCCCATTAAGGGCTGACTCAGGACTGACCACCATTCCTGGCAGTCTGAGACTGGCCCCAAGGGCCAGGAGGGGAAAGGACAGGGCAAGAATAAGCTAAGGTCAAAAAAAGTCACCGTCAGGGGAGCTGCACGAGAGCCCAGTGAACACCTCCAGTGCCCATGGAAATGTCACCCACCTGCCTGGCCCTGGGCAGGGTGCCGGTACAGCCCGGTAGCCCTCACCCAGCCAAGCCACGTCTCGGGGAGGAGGGAATGGACCACGCGTGGGGACACTCCAGGGCCAAGGACACTCCAGGGCCCCAGCAGAGACAGGCATAGCTTGCTGCCAGGAGTGACCCTGCCCCAGAGAACAGGGAAGAGGCATGTGGGGAGGATAGAGAGAGTAGGCAAAAGGCTTACTGACTTGTCAAGGCGAGAGAGAAAGAGAAAGGGAGGAGAGAAAGAAAGAAAAAGGAAGGTGAAATTAGACCTGCAGCACCAGAGAAGTTTCCAGAGCTCACCTATGGCCTGCACCAGTCCCCCTACCCCCAAGAATCACACCCAGCTCGCCCAGGGCTGGGAGCACACTGGGACGCAGGGGCAGATGCCAATGAACCAGACTGTGCCTCCCTCAGCCCCTCAGAACAGCCTGGGTGCCCAGGGCAGCCAGGGCCACATCCCCCCCATCCATTGCCCAGCATCAGGGCACCACCGCAGCTCTCGGCCGGAGAGGCATGGCCCGGCCGCTGCCAGACACACAGCGGCCGGGGGGGCAGCCTGCAGAGGCAGGAGCTTCTTTCCTGCGAGCAGGTTGAGGACAGCACTGCACAGGACTTGAGGGTGTCACTCTGCCCAGCCCAGCTCAGCATCCGGGGGACCAGCAGGACATTCCCAGGCAGGTGCTGGCTGGGGGCCACAATGCAGCCACCACTTTCCTGCCACCGCAGACGCCAGCAAGTGTCCTGCTACGACTGCCGTGCCATGCCCTGCAGGACTCCCCACAGGCTGACATGTCCCCAAGTGAGGGACCGGCACATGTGTGGCTGTGTGTCTCCACGTGTGACAGTCCTGTTGTGCCACCTCAGCACCAGCCATGGGGGCACCCCGTCACGGGCACTGTCGCCCACTTCCCCCCACGGGTGCCTGGCATGCAAGGTACAGCAGGGCCAGGCAGCAGGCTCCCCCCGATCCTCGGGGAGCAGGACAGACAGCAACATACCCATTGTGTTGGGGGGTGCAGGCGGGCGCCAGGGGCGTGTACGTCACGGGTTTCGTCACCAGCCCGGGCCGTGGGTTCGGAGGCGAGCCAGCCCCAAAGGGCCGGGCTGTTTTGTTGAGGGCGGTGCTGGGAGCGAAGTTATATTTCAGGGGTTCAGAGCAGGGGAGTGAGTCCTGAGCGAGACAAAACACACAGACACAGGCTCACACGTCAAGCAGCATGCAAGAGGCAGCCCTGGGCCAGGCAGCGCAGCAGGCAGCCAGGTAGGAAAGCCGGACAGCACGTGCACCTCAGGTACCAGGCTCTGCCAGGCTGGCACCTCTCTCTGCAGGGCACCCAGTCCAGTGACAGCAGGTCACAAGTCCGGCCCAAGGGTCATTGGAGGATTAGTAAGTGCCCCGGACGCTCGCTGCTGCCCGCAGCAGGGCGGTGCATGCACACACGCCGATTGCAACCATCCCACAGCACAAAGCTGAATGCATGCAGGTGGCTTCCGTCCAGGAGCCGCGGGTTACCAGCTGCAGTGCTGCCTCCCCGTGCCAGGGCACTCCCCAGCACTAGCAAACATGTGGCCCCAAGGCCATACAGTGGCTGCCCGGCCTCCTCCCCTGCGTCAGCCCCTCTGCACCCCTGCCCACACCCAGCGCCAGCGGGGGCACAGACAGGGGGCAGCCAGGGCCCGGACGCCCACTGGGCAGACCCCACTCCCTTTGCTCCCCTGCGGTGCTGGGGGTCAGTGCTGCTCCTGCAGCAGGGAGTTTTCCAGCCCTCCAAACACACCCCACCCCTCAGAAGCCTGTGGGCCCCAGGAGCAAAGTCCATTTGTCCATCTGTGCTCACAGATTTCCCCTCCCCTGAGACGAGGCTGCAGTGCCAGGAGCGACACGTACCTTCTGCGGCTTCCCCAGGTGGTTCTGGGCTCTGCAAGAGAGGAGACAGCCGGGCAGGTGCTGGAACCGCCCCAGCCACCACCAGGACACTGGTACCCCAGGGATGCAGCACCCACCCAAGGCGAGCCACGGCCAGCTGGCACTGCCCCATGGCTCACAGGCAAGGGCCGGCAGTCAGGCTAAGCCTCATCCAGCCAAGTAGAGCCCTTAGACCCAGTCAGGGGCTGCCAGACTCCAAGCAAGGAGCAGCGATACCAGAAGATGGTGATGTTGGGAGATGGCACTGGGCAGGGAGCCCTGGCTCTGCTCCAGCCACACCGGGACCCCAGGTTTGCAGGACCCACGAATCCTACCTGCTCAAGGTGAGGCAGAGCCTGTCCCCACAGGCACGGATCCTGTTCTGGGCCTCAATGTGCGTCATGGAGCTGGTGCTCTCCCCGTCGATGTACAGCACCCAGTCACCCACTCCCACGCCGGCCTGGGCCGCTTTCCCACCTGGCGTCAGCTGCAGGACAGACAGAGTCAGGGAGAGCTGGGCTGGCCGAGCGGCAACACAGGAGCAGAGGGACATCCTCGTCCCTGCGAGGGCAAGGGTCTGCCCAGGCTCCCTCGTGCAAGGGCCAGCCTGGCACAGGACACCACACAGACCTGACCCAGGGGGAGGTAGGGACCCCCCGATCACCCCATTTCCCAGCAGTGTTTCCCCCTGTAGCCCAGAGCCACCTCTTCTGCTGCACAGCAGTGGGGGGCTCAGCGCTACCCCAGGGTGCTGTCCTGCCCCTGCCCTCTGGCACAGCTGGGTCCATGCCAGCACCCCGGGGCCCTGTCCCCACGATGCCAAACGGCAGAGGTGGCGCTGACTCAGCCTCAGCAGGAGGCCTGGCCACCCTTCGGAGCCATCCCCACAGTCCTGGAGAGGGA